CGCTCGCGCTCCTCCAGCTCCGCCCGCCTCTCCATCGGCGACGGCTCGGGCTTCAGACCCCACGGGTTGGCGCTGGTCGCCGGGAAGCCTGCCGCTGTCCGTTGCAGCCTGCAGATACACACAACACACGCATATAAACAACATTGCACTTCTATTTATAAATCATTTAAATCCCATCATTTCATTTTCAATAACCATCGCTTAAATTTTAATACAATAACTTCAGACTTTTCATTAGCATGAGGGCAATTACACAATTGGAGGCTCCATGACAACTTCATATTTGGTATTGAAGCTCCACATTAGATAACCGCACACCAGTTCATACATCAGAAGTCACTCTATATAACTCAGAGAATAGATGTGGAAACACTAGCAGTGTAAGAGAGGACCTTTCCTGTTCAACTAGTCAGACACGCTGAGAGCGCCTGTAGTACCATGAGGGTCCTATCAACCGAGTACCCCCTACCCATTGCAGGGACCTCGTCTAGCAAAAGCACTCTTCTTTTCAAAACGGCCTTCTGCCAAAAAGACCTGATCTAATGAGGGGCCCTCCTTAAAGAAAGAATACTGATTAAGTGACAGAGTGACTCAGCCATATTTACCAGCCCTGGGACCCTGCCATACACAGCCACTCAATGGGAATATTACATGCATCAATGCATGCAATCAAATACATATTACAATGCAGTTATTATCACAATCATTTCCAAATCAAGACTCTGTGGTGACACATCCTACTGCTGGTGTGTCACAAACAGAGTTGGTACTCGTAAACACTGCAGAGGAAATTGACCAGCTCTACTCGCATTCATGATTTTGGAGTAAAATTGTCAGGTGGATTATGTACAAAATTTCATCATCTACTAGAGGAGTCTTAGTCAAAAGACATACAAGTAGATTTGCAACAATTTACTCTTGGTTTCATTCTCCAGGGCTAAAAACTCTAAGAAACAACACACGTGATGTTGGACACTCAGATTTTTATTAGACTTTACCAGTAGATAGTGCACAATCGACAATACATAAATTCAAATGTTTATGTGCTTTAAGTAGTCTGTGTTGGTAAAACGTAGTAAGAAGTCACACATGCATTGTAAGCCCACCCATTGGAAATGACTGCATCAATGCAGAGCAGAGCAAACAACTCAGAAAGAAACAGAGGCATGTCTATCTCATAGTTTCTCGTTGTTTTAGTTTCCATTATCTTGTATCTTCCCAAATATCAAAAACTATATATATTCAAAGAAATTTGTATTATTTAAATCAACGACTATTGAAACAGTTGCCATACATCAGCTTCAACAAACTTTAAAACCTTAAAGTTATAACTTTATCAAATTATATTATTCACATGTGAAACAAACCATAAATGAAAATCAATAGCAGCATTTATTTTAAACATATACACTGCCCCTTTCTTGAGAATAAAGCAAAGCAGAGAAGAATTAATATAATTCTTATTATAAAAGTTACTTACCGACTCCATGGGTCATGAACGGGGCCAAGTGGACCCAGAGGAGGCATGTCACGTGGTGGTGGAAAGACAGAGGCAGTTGCTCCCAAACTTGGGAAGGCAGAATTGGCTCCTGTGAAAGTGGAAGGATATCGCCCAAATGGAGACACTCCTGTACCTGCAACAAGTACACAAAAATTAACAAAATTAAATAAATGCACTTTAAATTTGCACTTAAAAAAGTTAGTGTACTTATTTTACGATATTCACCGTTTCTAAGCCACTAGTCCAATGATCATTACATGTTCATGTAATTGCCTATATAACTTAACGAGGGGTACACGAGAACAAAACAACTCTCATATTTCTTTCATAAGTAAAGCAGATTTTTAAATGATAAATCTGCTTAAAGAAGAAGAATTTTACTGGCTTAATGCACAAATTTGTATATACATTCATGGTAATTTTTCAGCTATTATCATTTTTGGAGACTCTCATTCATATCTACCGAGTCTACAAAGATTACATAAGAGGGATCATGCCTTTTCCCAGATAGCAAACAATGTTTCTCCATAAGCAACTGCACCTTTACAAACTTTCAAGCTTCATTTTCTCAAAATAAGAAATTCCAGACATATGAGATATGTGCACTAAGCCTCCAATGAGTAAGAAAATTATGTGTAATAAAAAATTTCCAGTCCAGACTTTGTTTTTATTGTAACGCTTACCTAAATGAGGTGCAGTTGGAGGGTTCAAGAAACTGCTAGGATGAGGGCCAGCATCAAAAGGAGGTCCTCGATGAGCCGTCAATGTAGAAGCAAATGAAGGCAGGTCATGTGGCCGAGGTGGTGGAGCTAGGCCACCAGGAAATAGATGGTTTGGAGGTCTCAGAAGATCAGGTGGCTTTGCAGCTCCGGCCTTTGCTTCAGCTTGCTGTTTCTGTTGGTGATGGTAGATCTCCCAGGCAATCCTCACGTGCATAGCATTCCAGCGACCCGTTTTCTGCAGTTCATGAAACAAAGAAACTTTATGAACAAATTCTCCACACCACAGAAATGTACTTTTCAGTTTACAAATATTTATTTTAGTAAGTACTTGTAGGTCATACAATTCAATGATTCAAGTAATCTGAGACAAGACAATTATGCATATATACAAAATTAAATGTTATCAGGTGAAAATGAAATTATGAAATCTATTCAGTGAAACATGATATTTTTTTAAGTACATTAAATAAAAACCCATCTAAACCTCATCCATTTCCATGTAATAGGTCAATAATATCTTAAGAAAGAGTCCATTTATGTTTTGGTGATGTTTGACACCCAACTGCCTTCTATTCAATCACACAGTATTATATACAGCTTGTAATATATAATAAAATGCGTACTACTTATAATGTATTTTGAATAAAATTTATTTACATTATCAGTTTAAGAATTCTTAACTTCAATAATTCATCATATTTATTTAGTTCCAACATGAGCAAATAAAAACATCAAAAGGGACTTGTTATCTTGGGAGAACTGGCTAGTGCTATCAAAACATTAACACATTCAGGTAATGTGCACGAACATCTATGAGGTAATAAAAAGGTTATACATTCATTGGTAAAACAAATCCCCCCAAAAGTAGCTATGTTATAAAAAAAAGCAAGGTGTAAGCTGAACACGTACCACTGGTTTAGGTTTCGAGGGATCAGCCATTTGCTGTGGAAAAAAGAAAATGACAAAGCGTTACTGGCTGGAGACAAGCAAGGAGGACAAAGGCATGAGGAGTGAGACATAATGACATGCTTAATCAGGTGCATGGAGGGCCAGGAATAGCCGAATGACTCTGCAAGAAATCATTTTGGCACAGACTTTATAACAGTCTGCCACAAAATTGATTTCCTTTTGGTTCAGAGTCTCATCATTTGTCTCTTTTTCATGATTTGTCCAGAATAGCAAAAAATGAATTAGAAAATCTACTGCATGCAAAAAGGAGCATTATGGTACACTTAGCAGCTCTATAATGAAATTAATATCTTTCATTCAAGACAGAAGAATAAATATTAACCATAATTTATAAATGTTTTAGTGGGTGTAAGCTATCATTAAGAAAGCACATTTTAGAACATTAAGCTTTGTTAAAATGAAATAATAACAATAAGCAAACTGAAATTAAATACCTCAAACTTAAACCCAATTTTTTACAGTAAGGGGCAGATATATAGCAAAAAGCATGGTCAGGGGTATCATTTCATGCAAGTCATCAGATGGGGGTGATGCAAATTATAGTACTTTACCTTTGGTGTGAATGTGGGGAGGTGATTAGGTGGAGCAAATGGGGTGGAACCCCCAAGACTAGGGTGCAGAAGACCAGGAGAGAAACCAGGGTAGCTGGTGAGTCCTAGATTCTGCCTGTAGAATGGCGAGTCCACACTTCCCAACTTGGGGATATCTTTGAACTGGAAAATAATATAATGAATTATTAGTTATTTTATCACAAAAAATCTCAATATGAAGCAAATCATTAAAGTTTGACACTAACAATCAGGCTAAAATATACAATAATGCCCAAAAATTAAAACCCGGTTGCACAACTTTTTCAGGAGCTGATTTGATTGCAGTTTTTTAAAAATTACAAAATACTAACTTTCATGAAGAATTAACACTGTGCAACATGCTAAAGAATGATAAACTTATTAAAGGTCAATAATTTCTCAGTCATTAACAACATTCAAGGTGCTTGTATAATGTTGAAAAAATTTCCCACAAAGGGAATGAATTTCACAATAAAGAAATTAATAATTTTAAAACGAATTTGTAAACACCTACATTTCATTAGTCATTGTACATAATGACTTGTTGAGAGTATAGGAGGTTAATAATTTGATTTTAAGCTATGAAAACAGAAGAGGTCTTACTAGAGGTGGTGGAAAGAGCGATGGTGCCGGTGGTGGAGGCAACAATGGAGTCGTGGTATGCTGATGCACATGGGTGTGTTGATGTTGATGGTGGTGCATTTCTGTTCTTAGGTAGGGCGGTGGTCCCACATTCAAAGAGCGGTCCTGTGAGGCCAGGAACCGGCTATCCAGTTCACGCCGCAAAAGGTCTGCCTGATCTGAAATGACAAGAGACCATGAATTACTCACTCATTAAACATTAGGGTAAGAGAAGCATCCTACTTAATATTACGCACATGAATATGATCCTGATATATCCAAAAAGCATGAATAAAAAACAAAAAAACATAGTTAATTTAAAAAATCATATAAGGGATTTTAACAGAATTTAGAAAAATATTGACACGACATTTCATGAATATGTGCTTAGATACTCCTACAGTAATGAACAGATGTTTAATTGAAATAGTCGAATTTAAAAATTTAAAATAGTTTTCTGTAGTAACACAAGTGGCATACTTGGTAGAATGTACTTACTTGACTGGAAGAGAGACTCGGCAGAGAAAGGGTTTGGGTTGGCTGACGTAGGCAGTGAGAGAGGACTGGCAGTCGCTGTAGGTGGAGGAAGAGGGGGAGCAAACATAGGAGGAGGAAATGAGTGAGATGGGGGGTGCAGAGGATGGGCAGCGGGCATGGGCACTGGAGGAGGGGTAGGCCGTGGCACTGTAGAGGCAGCTGGAGATAGCTGTGGCCCAGAAGTGCTGCAACATTACAAAGAATACATAAGTAAAAGGAACAGAACAAAGTAAATCGATATAACAAAATGCCCTATCAGATGAAGTCATCATGTTGACAAAAAAGTACATGATGACTTTCTTACAATTAAAGGTTAAATTTCTTGAATCCACACAAAGTTAAAGTGTTGTTCTACAGATCAATGCTCAGGTAGTACATCACAACATCAAAAGAAACAAACAAACAAACAGACAATTAAATTGTCACATGGTTATTTAGGCCTGTATTTCTTAGTGGCGTATCACTTAATATTACACAATTATTCAAAAATGTAAGAAATAAATAAAACTACATTAAGCATATGTTTAAACGGATAATGTTAAGTCTCTTATTGAAAAATCTAAATTGTACATCAATGAGTGGCAAGTAAGATAAATATTTTTGATAAATAGAATAGCTTGATTTTAATATATTTCAAAATATTATATGTTTTTCATACGTCATCCCTGAGTCAAGAACAATTTGAGAGCATGAAATGTAAAAAGCATGTATTTTCTTTTAGCATTTATGTAATACATTTGTTAAGAGTATCTTCGTGGAGAGACTGTGTATTTAAAAAATATTTTAAAACAATGAAAACAAACATTAAAATGACCAAAAAAAAGTTTTATGACATAAAAGAAGTGTCCTTGGGGAATTCCCATTTTAATACTGTCTTTAGTTTTCCAGCAATTCATAGCTGTCTAGCAAGGCCCCACAATTACTCCAGCACAGTGAATGTTGTGTCAAAGGTTACATGCATATCTGTTTAATGGCAAATAATTATTATTGTTAAATTACTTCCGGTGGTCTTAATAACACAATGGTTGAATATCATTCAAGAATATAGAACTTATTGGTAAGGGTTAAAGACCATCATAAGGCAAAACCCAACCTCCATTGTGATAATTTGTCTGGGCAGTGAGAGTTAATGAAAGCACGGGAGGAAAAACAGGAAGGGATGAAAGTAAAAGAAAAGGGAGAAAATTAAGGAGAGGGACAAAATAAAGGAAAGAGGACAAAATAAAGGAAGAAGAGAAAATAATCAAGACAACATATAGGAAGGGGAGGGAATTAATTCTCGCATGCATTCCACTCACTCAGGGATTGGTATAGTACTCATCAAAGCACACATTTAATTTTCTTAAACTATTCATAGCTTCATGTCTTGCTTCCGGGGACTTTTTCTTAGAGCAAGTTCATAATAAAAGGAAATTTAAACATAACACAGTTGCTTGACTCTTGTCGACAAAAAGTCACAAAAAGAGTGTTTTTATCTATTCTTCGTGTAACGTTTGTTTCATTACAAAATTAAATGTATTCATCTTTTATCTCAAGTCAAAACAATTCACGTTATGCCAGAATTACAGTGTAGTAATTTTCAGCTTTTATCCACACACCCTCTCTTCCACCCCCAAAATACATTTTTAATTCTCTGAGAATGAGTTGGAAAAAAATTAAAGTTTCTCTCCGGTAGACCGCAAAGGGTCGAATGGAACCGTACTTGCCCCGAGTGGTGGGAACGCCTAACCATAGAGCACACGCGCGTTTTTCGCGACTCCAATACGTAGAATTCATCCTACTGTAACGTATTGGTATGTGGTGTTTTCTTTGTAAATAAATATTTGTTATATGAAAGCTCTGTGTCTGTGTTCGCTGTGTGTATCCA